CAAATGATTAAGGCCTCTGACAGTGGCCTTAATCTCTGTGCTTGAGCTGATATACCTCATTGTTGACCATGATATTTTATTGCAACAATTAGAGCTTGTTGTAGATATTAAAGCTACTGCGCTGCAGTGGTTTGAATCATATGTACTTCCAATAGACTCCAATTTCTTCATGTAAATGAAGTGTCCTTTTCACACACTAAAATTAATTATGGAGTTCTACAGGGTTCCTGTAGACGTGGATGACATCTAATTTTCTGCTTCTAAGTTCAGATAAAACTAAGTTTATTGTATTGGGCCCTAACAATCTTAGAAATATGGTGTCTAACCAGATGCTTGATCTGGATGGGATTACCTAGGCCTCCAGTAACACTGTGGGGAATCTTGAAGCCATTTTTTGACCAAGATATGTCCTTCAATGTGCCTGTTAAAAATATATGTAGGGTGGCTTTCTTCCATATTCGCATACTCTTAAAATAGAAACAGCCTGTCTTAAGACTTTCTTTTTTGACAAAACTTAGTTAGGGCTGATCAGGTGACCCTGAATTAACATAACCTTTTATGCTATGTTAGGCTGCAGAATGCTTTGCCATTTGATGAACTCCATCTGCTTTTTTTGGGTCCTCAGCTTTACAATAAACTTAGTCTGCATTATCTGCAGACTGTAACAACACACTAAGAAAGCAATTAGGCATAGAAAAAAGTGTTTGTATGAATGTGAAAATGTCAAATTAGAAGTTATTTTTCAAATTCAATTTCATACATGCAATTTGGTCTTGAGGTTTTTCTGTTGTTTATGTGGACATGCAAAAAAAGTAAAAAAATCAAAAAAAAAAAAAAGTTGTGGATGTTTGCCAGTGAGTCTTGTTGTTAATTTGTGGCACACAGTGGCCACTAATGGTACTGCAGCAGAAAAAATACCTTAAATGGTAAATGGCCTGTATTTATATAGCGCTTTTACTAGTCCGTAAGGACCCCAAAGCGCTTTATATATCCAGTCATCCACCCATTCACACACAGGTGATGGCAAGCTACATTGTAGCCACAGCCACCCTGGGGCGCACTGACAGAGGCGAGGCTGCTGAACACTGGCGCCACCGGGCCCTCTGACCACCACCAGTAGGCAACGGGTAAAGTGTCTTGCCCAAGGACACAACGACCGAGACTGTCCGAGCCGGGGCTCGAACCGGCAACCTTCCGATTACAAGGCGAACTCCTAACTCTTGAGCCACGATCGCCCCATACCTTGTTGCCGAAAAGGGGAAAGAAAAAAACCAGCACAGTTTGAAGGGCAAAATGATTTTTTTCAATGCATTCATATAAGTTCCATCTACTTTCTACAAATTATCCAAGCCTGATAATCAGATAATAAACATGGATGTACATATCTCCACCAGGAGGTAACCAGGACACAAATCAATGTTTTTCAGTAATTATCCTAACTTTAGAGTGATGTGTGAAGATCACCTAGATTGACATTTAATTTAAAGCTTCATGCTTCAAGCTTCACTTTCTTTACCGCTAAAAACTACTAAAGCATCCAGTCTGTCCAGCCCCTTGAGATGCGTGAAGCCCTTCACTTGAGGCAGTAATCCACAACGCAATTCAGAAAAAGCACCCTTTTCCTATTGCTACTAACAGACTATGAGAGAAAACTATGTGGAAAAACAACCACACTAGGCTGTAGGGCGACCCAATTAATTAAATTAATAAAATTTAGCCTTCCCAAAATTAAATGAGTGAGCGATATGTAAAATAAATGAAAATACACTCTCTTTAAAATGCAAAGTAAAAGCAACTAGGCTCAGCTGCAGTGGAGGGGTGGAGCGGTGGGTTCAGGGGACAGTGCCAGGGAATGCTGGCCAGGACTGCTGATAGCCATCACTTTAACCATGCCTTCCCTATTTCAGCAGCTGCCAGGTCCCTGTGGGAGAGCTGGTGTTTGGAGGTGAAGGAAGTGGCTGGAAGCTGCAGAGAGGTCACAAAAGTGAAAAGCATCATGAATAAACACATACTTACCTTTCAAAACTGTGTATAGTGGGTCTTTTTATAACAGTGGTGCCAAAACCTGGGCTGTGGTATGGTGGACCTGTGACTGGCCCAGCCAATTGAGGTGCTGGCCCTGATGGTGTTGAGCTGGTGGCCATGCATTGGGAGCAGGTGGTGGTGCATCATTGGCAATTAGAACAGCTACAAGTCCAGTCAAAGAGCCACATAAAGGAGTTGGAGAGTGGTTGCTCTGCTTGTTCCTCAATGACACCACTAGAGTTGATGGGGAAAGGAGATGATCTTCAGGCTTTCTCAGATTTCTTTCAGGCCACAGCAGAAAGACCTGAGAAAAAGTAAAGGCTGAGACTACTCCCGGTGCCCAGGCGGTGACTCTCAACTTAGAGAAGATGGCCGTTGGCTGGTAGTGGACCAATTAGGCCTCGCACCACCAAATCAGTGAGTGGGGCTCCTCGCAGATACTGATAGTGGGTCCACTGCCACTGACTGGGCAGGCTAGATGTTGTTGTGACCCTGCCCAAGGATCACCTTTCAGCACAGCTGAGGGAGGTGGTGGGAGTCACAACATCGGCTGGAAGCCGCCCAGTTCTCCGAGGAGGAGGAGACAGAAGGGCCTTCTCTGGAAGCTCTGTCAGCTCCAGCTATCTTGTCCACAGGAGATTCCCACTAAAGTAGTTTGGTGACGACACTTCTATAGTTATCATTTGACTAAGTGATAAAAACTGATCACACACGGATCAAAAGTACACTGACGTTATTCTATGAATATGGGATAAGAGGTCATATGGGTTATGACAAAACTTTGGAGCAAATAATGGTCCAATTTTATTGGCCAGCCATTTGGGGAATTCTAAAAGTGTCTTTGTGCTTAACTATTAATTGAGGTTCTGTTTGAGGGCATCAGCTTGGACCTCATATGTCATTTAACCGAGGTGCATAGGGATATATCTTCTTTCTGGTAGATTATGGAATGCAATATCAATTCAGTTCAATTCAGTTTTATTTATGTAGCGCCAAATCACAACAATATTATGAAGGCTATCCCGAAACAGTGCCGCTGCACACCATTTCTGTAAAGAGTGTGGCACAGGCACTGTTTCAGGAAATCTCCCGAGTCGGCATCTTGAAAGAGATACTGACTGACCAGAGCTCATTATTCATGTCTCACACACTAAAAGAACTGTGTAAATTACTCTGTAATAAATCTGTTCAAACCAGCTTCTACTATCCACAGAGGAAACCATTCTTGCCTCCCTCCATTGTAATGGCAATCTCACACAGGCCTAGAGAGCGGATGTTGCTGCAGCGTTTTGCAGATGTGTTCTCCCCTTATACCAATGTCAGAGAGCAACATTTTGTAACACATCCTGGCATAAACTAAACACAAAAGAAAATTTGTTCAGAAGGAATTAGTAGAAATGCTGAACATGGGAGTTAGAGTCACACAGTGTCCATGTAGCCCCATTGTTCTTGTAGTACAGAAGATGGGTCTATTTTCTGGAGAACTGATTGATCAAGAGGTGGTGATTTCATTACCTGTTGATCTTTTCATCTCTGGTCTGGATTAGTGACAAATCAAAGTCTGGCATAGCCGAAGGTGAAGAGCCTGCCCCTCAAAGCAGATCACCATACTTCAAAATACTTCATATTTAGCAATTAATAATAACCAAAAATAAATCATATGCATGCTGAAGAGTTGTCTGCACCGGAAAGCAACACTAACTTACTCAACTGGTTGAAAAGACATCACAAACTGCAGTATAATGAATGTATGAACGCCAAGTGCAATGATTTCTAATGTTAATGGTAAATGGCCTGTATTTATATAGCGCTTTTCTAGTCCCTAAGGACCCCAAAGCGCTTTACATATCCAGTCATCCACCCATTCACGCACACATTCACACACTGGTGATGGTAAGCTACATTGTAGCCACAGCCACCCTGGGGCGCACTGACAGAGGCGAGGCTGCCGGACACTGGCGCCACCAGGCCCTCTGACCACCACCAGTAGGCAACGGGTGAAGTGTCTTGCCCAAGGACACAACGACCGAGACTGTCCAAGCTGGGGCTCGAACCGGCAACCTTCCGATTACAAGGCGAACTCCCAACTCTTGAGCCACGATCGCCCAGTATCAGCTCACAGCTAATGAATTTCAGCCTTTACAGCAAGCCAGCATATCCATCCAGCTTGATAGGCAGAAAAACAATCAATCTCATTACATTTGTGAAAATGATGTTGTACCATCCAATAAACACAGTGGTTAACAAATGCTTCAGGAAAACTTACCAAATGAGAGAGATGTTATCCCCTATACCTACCATGACTTTCCAACCTCCAGACTTCACAGGAGAACACTATAATATTTCCGGGGTGATGTTCAGTGCGTTTTGACCTTCAAACTTGTGTATTTTGATTTTCCTAGTATTTCACAGGCTTGTCTAAATGCTTCAATATAGTTTTTCTTCAGGAATGGAGACATGGTGACATGTTCAGTTTTACACACTGTATATATGAATGTATAATAATAATAATAATAATGGATTGGATTTATATAGCGCCTTTCAAGGCACCCAAAGCGCTTTACAATGCCACTATTCATTCACTCTCGCATTCACACACTGGTGGATATGATGAACAGACTGTGAAACACAAGACTCTTTCACCCATTCACTTATTTCTATGTCAAAGTAATTTCTGTCCAACAGTCACACACACTCACACTCTGATGAATGCAGTGGAGCAACTCAGGGTTCAGTATCTTGCCTAGTGATACTTTTGCATGAACTTGTTTTCTGATCTTTTGTGCATAGTGGTTATATGTTGCAGTTTAATTACTGTTATCATTAGTTATACAATAATTGTAATTATTATATAATTACTGGATGACAGAGTAAATTAAGTATGTCAATCTTAAAAAATCACAAGGTAAAAAGGCAAACAGTCACTTTTATTTAACACTTATGGATACTTTTATGAAAAACTTTTGATTTCTAACCTGTAGGATCGGCACGCTCACGACACTCTTCGCCATCCTCTTCATTATTATAGTGCTCGTCTTTGTTATAATATCCGCGATGTGAGTGTTCTCGCTGGTTATGGTGATCATAGTGTGTATGTCGTGAATCACGGTTGGCATCGCTGGCATAGGAGTGATGTCTGCGTCTTTTCCGCCGGTGGGAAACTGGAACACCGATGTAGAATGGCTGGGCCTCTGAGATGGAGAGAGAAACATTTCATTTGGATCTGATCAATGCAGTCAGAGCTTGAGGGGTGCTCTGAAAATGGGAACGTATTCTAAAAACTTCTGACTGGTTTCAGCATTATGCAGCATCTAACAGGTTTTAAAAATCAGATGTCATACATGAAATGTATATGTTTTTCAATTTGTGCTCTGCCCTCCTAGAAACACAGTTCACAAGTAGATGTATTTAGTCTGGGAATACCACCTAAATTAGTTTTTTCTGGGTTTTTTTTAATTAAGTGGAGCTATGTTGTCAAGGATAATAGAGCAAAATCTGTTAGAAAGTAATAAAATGTTCAACGTAATTGTAGAAGGTAAGGATGTCACCTATGCTTGACAAATTTCTGAAGACACTGGAGAAACATTTAGCAGTAACTGGAGTGACAGAAGAAACAGGGGATAGTGGCAGAAAGAGGGTGAGGAAGCATGTACCTTTTGTGTTTCTCCAAAACAAAGGTTTATAGTTCAGGGTAAGGGTTGGGATCATCACTGAAGATGACTTAGACCTCAGAGTTTAAAAAAAATCAGGGCACTTCCTCAGTTTTCTCTCGCATGGCAAAACGTTTTTTCAGTTAGTGTTTTTTCTTACTCACCATCATCATCATCATAGTGCCTATGACCCCTACTTCTTCCCTGTTGCCATTCATGGTGATCCATCCTGGAACAGAAACAAGATGACAGAAGATTACCTTGGAAATACGAATACTGAAGCACGAGAAAAAGCACCAGGTGGCAATTCCCTATGTGGTTTTTTTTTCCATCAACGTTTTATTCAAACTGAAAGTTTGAAGTTATAAAGAACATGTCTGCTTCCCAAAGCCAAACTTGAAACTGGATCCAGTGGGGAGGGGCCTGGTACCTGTAAGTTCTGCTTCCATGGTCCTTTTGGAACGTCCAAGAATCACAACAATCTTGCACTCTTACAGAGAAGTGCTCTGTTGGGATGCTGTGGTACTATGAGGTCTTTAAGATGTAATGGGCTTGGTCACACAGGACTCAAGGTGCTGTTGGCAAAACGTTAGAGAGGAAATGACAAGTGAACCCCTATGAGCACTTTGCGACAGTAGGAAGGAAAAATTCCCAGTAGAATCAGGCCATCAATGCCAGATGGCTGCTAGTTTTGCGCACCATTCAAAGCTCTTCAGGTTAAAAGCCAACCTTGTGTAACCCTTGTGGTGTCCTCGGATCAAAAATGGTCCCAAGGTGAATGGCAAACAAGCATATGGGAATCCCGAGGACACCACAGGATCAGACCTGCAGCCCTACCAGTCCAGGCTACACTTGTCACTGCAGTAAGATCTTGTAAAAGGCAGTAACAAATTCTGTACTGAGATCTAGCAGATGAGTCCATTGTCTGAACTTCATTGCCTTTTCTGTGCTATGATCGGTAGGAACTTATGAATGAATCTCTTCATCATTTCCTCTGCAAAAGATCCCAACTTTTTTTGCAAATAATTCTCGATTGCAAGTTATTTACAATATCATCATAAGTCACCTACCCTCTAAAGGTGGGACAACAGATATCAGTGGCAAATAAACATTTGGTTTACCAGCTTTATAAACTATTTATATGAGCTATTTTGGTTGCAATGTTACAAAATTGAGTTTTCTATGAAGTGCTTACATATTAAAATATTTACAATGTACAATATTACAATGTTTAATAAAAACATTTCCTATTACATATATAAAAACACTTAACCCATACAAGTATTAATCATTATTTCAGCATTATGTGCATTGACAATGTTCTGTCAGTTTATTATTGCAAAAAATACAAAAACATAAAAAATAAAAATCCTAGATGCCCAGACATATCATTGCTTTTAGTACATGGTGAAGCTATCACTGGGTGTCTCTTTCCACTGATGACATAAGTTTGTCTTTCTAAAGCTATTGCTTTAGGCTGTTTTCTAGGCTGATCAATACATGTCATTTGTGATTACTTACTACTTACTGAAGCCTGACCACTGACTGTGAAGGACAGTCACATGAGTGGATTCATGCACACACACACAAGCTTGTTAGTAATATGTGCATACGGTGAACATCGCAATTAGGTTACAGTAAATAGCTGAATTGTGTTATCTGTGCATTATCACTGTCACATAATCAAATTAAAACACAAATGTCAGGTTGGAGTCATCCTACTTGAGCTGTCCTTTTGGCATCTGTCCTGATTTGAAGAGTCAAGTGTTGCATATTTTAAGGCTGGGCTGAGTCACAGTTCTCTGCCAGATTGTGCCAACATTGTGATTGCCAGGCCTTCTTTGTTACCTGTTTGAATTTGTGCTCTTCTTTGTTTAACCCAGATTCTTGGTCATCTCTCCAGTTATTTCTTCAGAGTTCTAGAAACCATTTTCTCTGGAGCTCAGTTTACTAGGTGACTGTGAACTCCTTCAGCCACTTTTGAGCTCCAGTCTATCTTCCCTGTTACTTGCAGATGAAAGGACTTATCTGTTCACAACCTTTTCGCCCATTCTCCACCCATATGTTTTTGTTGAGTGTTTGCCAGGAGGACCAAGTGCTCCTCCTGAGCTTACTTTGTGACACCAAGACTCGATCTACAATAACCTCATCTTGACCTCTGTCAACACTATCTCACTTCCCTGTCAGAGATCCTGGTTATGTTCCTGTAGTGAAGCCACTCACCCGTTAGCCAAACATGAGTTGAAATGTTCTTGCCGCTTCAAATTTGCCTACCTTTCAAAATTATTTTAAAGCAGCTAATGGTTGCCAGAGTTTACTCCTTGAATCAATTTTAAACCAAACTATGAATCTGTTTAGCAGATTACATGTTTGGGAAAAACGAAACAGTTGTAAAAAACTTTGACTTTATTACTTCATAAAGGTAATATCACTTTGTGTTCATGTTGGGATGCTTTGATTAGAGACATTTGAAGGTTTGATTAGACTAGAATCCCTGAAAATAGCAATGCTAGGGTGTGGTTCAAAGAGGCTTGTCTTCAAAAATTACATGTACTCTATTCAGTTCAAATTAATTTTATTTATATAGTGTCACAACAACAGTTGCCTCAAGGTGCTTAATATTATAAGGTAAAGGACCCACAATAATACTGAGAAACCCCAACAAACAGACAACCCCCTATAAGCAAGCACTTTAGCAAACTTGGGAAGGAGAAACTCCCTTTTAAAAAGAAGACATTTCTGGCAAAACCAGGCTCAGGGACGGGCAACCATCTGCTGTGACCGGCTGGGGGTAAGATCGTATGTTAACACATTTAGGCTATTTCAATGAAAATGTGTTTCCACATACTCTTAATATACATGAACACCAATAACCACAGAAATTCCAGTTAAGCCACCGATTAAGATATTTTCTGCCAGATTTAAAGTAGGCACCCCAAGTTCTACTGCTGCATCCTTGACCTCATGTACAGCTCATACATGCAGCCTCTAATTCCATTTTTCTTACACAGGCTTTTTATTTTGCACAGTATTACATCAAATTAATTTCACTGATGCTTTTGTCTAGTCATGGGTACAGTTATGAATTGAAAATGCAAAACTGTGCATTATTTTCTTGAGATAAGCTCATGGTTGAGAGAACCATTGGGTTGAGATAAGCTCAACCATGCCAGTGGTTGCCAATGGTTGAACTTATCCTAAGCAACCTGCACTTACCATCAATCTTTTAGTTTGTACCCTCACACTGTAATTTCCATTGGGAAGCAACTGGTAAAAGGTAAATAAATGTTTTTTTGCTGTGCAAAATAAAGTACCAAATTTTAGGATTTTTACGAGTTTTCCAGTTACTCATTACAAGTCTTAACTTAACAAATTATGTAGTACAATAACAAACTTATGATTCTATAGACAGAGACAACATGCAACTTGTCACAGGATTTATATGGGACTGAGTTAATTTAAAACAGTTTTCCACAGAATCTGCATTTGTAGCGTTAGATTTAACACATATAGATTTATTTGTTTTTTTGTTCTTTTGCTGCAGATGTAGCAGAACCAGAGCTATCATTTCAATGCTCAAAAACCTGGCATGCATTGTTTTTCAATGCAATCCATTTATTCAGCTGTATAGATGCAGGAGAAATTTGCTACTGGTAGCTTAGAGCCAAAAGCAAAACACTTCTGTATAGCCTAGAGCTAATAGCTAAAATGTTCACTGAGCTTTAAAGGTTACAGAGAAAAGCTCTACAACCCGTTTAACTCCTTTTTTCTGTTGAATTTCTTTAAAGTTTAACTAAGTAATCATCATCATTGTGCAATACTTTTGTAAATAGTCAACGGTGCAATAGACTCAATACTTGAAATGTGCAATTCACTTGTATTTTTATTTTTATTCCTATTTATTATATTTATCCCCTTCGTATATTTTATTTATATTGTCTCTGTATTTATATATATGTGTGTGTGTATAACTCTGTAACTTCTGTCGGTGCTGTGCTTTTTTGGAAATCGAATTTCCCAGAGGAACCCACCCAAGGGATTAATAAAGTTCTATCTAATCTAATCTAATCTAATCTAATCTAATCTAATCTAATCTAATCTAATCTTAAAAAAAAAGGCTAAGCAGTAGAAAAAACAAATAAGCATTCACAATAATTCTTTCGCTTTCTTCTTAAAACTGACAGCTGTCTACTAAACCCTAAATGATTTGTAATTTATGTTCAAGCTACTTAAGATGGAATATAAAATGTTTTATTATTCTAAAGAGGTAAATATCAAAATATCAATTTAATAGCAAAATACACTGACAAATATGAAAACCATCTAGATAAAGATGGTGTTTTAATGTTCTCTTACCTGATGTGACAGAAGCTGAATCTGAGATTGCCCGTGAAGAGAAATTTATATTGCCTTTTGTAAGGAAGAGTAACAAACTACAAGATGCCAAAATTTTTCAGTCCTATTCTCTATAGAGCCTGTCAAGGAAAATGCTGCAACTACACCCAACCAGACTGTAAATGAATGTACAGATGATCTAAGTATTGACTATTACATGTGACTCGAGTGTGTGTATGTGTTTGTGTGTGTGTTTGAACGAGTGCACACCCAATAAGATTAGAGTAGGGGTAGGCAACCTTTCTGATGGCGAGTGCCATTTAAAATTTCCTCAGAGGTCAGTGTGCCATATGATTGCATTAACAATAAATTTAATAACGCTCTATATTAACAGTTACACACTGTATAGAACAACTTTCTAGAATTATATTTGTTTGCAGATGTTGGCAGCTATCAGCGAATAGTTATCAGCTATTTTGAAACAAAAAAAAAGACACTTTTTATCCATAACAAAAACTCCATAACAGCAAATGAACTGTACAACAGAAAATACAAATGCTATTTAAGTTCTCCTCACAAGGATGATAAGAAAAATGAACTAAGCCAATATGGCATGTCTGTTAATACAGAGACACACATGTTAATATGATCTCTGGTCTCCCACTCAGAGACACAGGTCTCCGAGTGTCCAGCATTCAGACGGCTACCTGAGGACACTCATGTGAGAGAAAATCTGCTCACACAGATATGTAGAGCCAAATACTGTCAATAAGGCCTCTGCAATGTTCTGAGGACAGTTAAACTTGTCAGGTAGTGATGTCCAGCAGGTGAAAATGCAAGCTGCATGAACACGCACAGCTATGGATTACAGCTGCTTCGATGTTGCATTAACTGGCATTAACTCAGCCAGTTAATGCGAGACAAATCCAGCTACTCATTAAAGATTTCTGGTTTGATCAGAAAATAAAACATTGGTCCAAACACCGGAAAGTTCAGAAAATGCATTGTGTCTCAAGTCTACGGATGTATCCGTGTATTTCCGTGGTGCTGATGCTGCGCTGAGCGGAAAGCTCCTCAAGCTTTTGAAGTGTCGGAATGTCGAAAGCTAACAACGTCCCTCTCACCAGTAGGCTAAGTTATTTTTAGCCAATTACAAGTTGAATCTAGTACTTGGGGTTGTTAGTTAAGATACTGTCATTAAGAAGCGGCACAACTAATGTGTCTATGCGAGCTGATTTGCGATGTGCACCGCTGGCGCGGCCATTTATCTTTTGATGCACCTTCTCAGATTAATTCACTGTGTGTCGTGCCCAGGGCTGGACTGGGACAAAAAAACAACCCGGGCATTTTGACTAGAGACCGGCCCACCAAGCCTTTGAATGAAAACAAACGATTTTGTGACAGTGATGTACAATGTTGTTGGTATATGTATGATTTCTATACATTTTACATCAGATAAAAACTTTGGTTGTAAGATTCAGATAATTATTTAATAACAGCCAGACATTTTTAAATGAAAATAAGAAAGTATTTCTTTGTGCCCCCCTTTCTCTGTTAATGCCCTACCTGCCCACCTGGCAAAACTTTGCTAGACCCGCCCCTGCACAGTTACCAGCTGTCAGCTACTTAGAAAAGGATGCTGGTGTTATTTGTCTCTCAGAAACAGTTCATAACTTCCCTTCAACTCATTCATGTCACCTAAAAGGTAAACCCGTTTCTCCATCACCTGTTCAGCTCTGATGATTCAGTAAGGACATCTCCTGGTTTCATCTTCATGTTTCCCTCTCATCACATAACCAAACCGATATCATGACCAGCAGGTTTACAGCTGTGGCTCCAGCAAACATCAGCTGTACTAGAAAGTAATATTAAATAAATTCTAACAACAGCTGATCAAGCTTAAACGTGCTGCTGTTGTTTACCGCGACATCCGCTGGTTTCCTCTTTCTGGCGCAAAGTGGGCGATAAACGAACAAGAGAGAAAAGCCGATCAGCTGATCATTGATCAGTTTCATGATTAAAGTAGCAACAGGAGAGGGAGCGGGTGAGAGGATGAGAGACGAAGAGGCAGCTGTGCAGCAAAGACAAAGAATAACTCAACCTTTGTGCCTTTTTCATTCTAGCTAAAGTCCGGGACCAACTGCGTCCCCTCTCAGCTCAACACGAAACGCGTAATAATTTCTCTGAATGCAGGAGGATTCCATCTTTTTACTGGACGGTTGGCAACTCTACTAACTAACCTTATGAATTAAATAAAGTTCAACATTAGTAACATCATAGCACCCACCCAGCTGTATAGAAACTCGGTCATGCTAGCTAGTACGCAGTAGAGTTAATGTAACTGACTGTAAAAGGTCAGCACAACGAAAATAAACTCCACCTAAACTTGGTTTATATCTGACCCAGATAGACTGCAGGTCATAACTTCTTACCTGAAGTTCAGTTCACCTGACGCTCTGACCGGCGGCCCCCTCGGCTCTCTCCTCGTCCTTCCTCCGATCTCCCTCATCCACCTGCTGGCCTCCACCACTTGTTAATGTTACTGAATCTGTGGAAGCTCCGCGATGCCACCACCAAACAACTGAGTTATTTTTACACACCGGCCAGCATCTGGCCAATCCACCACTTTTCATTGTCTAAACCGTTACAAAAAAAAAAATCATCGGGCCATGTATGCCCGATGGCCAGTCCAGCTATGGCTGTGCCATTAGTTAACCCTTTGTGCCTAGGGTTGCCGACCCCTGGATTAGAGGCATCTGCTTTGCTGTTTTAATGGGGACCAATAAGCAGAGCTGCCTCCTATAGAATTGGTTTATATTGCCTTCTTCATTTCATGAGGACATAAAACACTGGGTTAATTTCTCTCTAAAACTGCTCCTACTATGTTAAAATTCTTGAAAGCAAGGCTTTCATTTTCATTGCTATACAGATTATGTCGAGTTTTATTTACCACGTACGTTTAACTGTCCATCTAATCTTCCTCTGTTAAACAAACCCTCTATGTGTCACAGTCTGGGTGAGTAGCTGGAAAATTCCACTTTTCTCCTGAGTCACCTGGTATCCGCTCCTGGGCAGGGCCACCATCCCCTCACCTGTTCTCCACAAATGGAGTTGGTTTTGAGACAATCAGGTCGGGAGACTTAAATACCACGTTGACATCCCCTCACGGCTAGTTTGTCAACTATCCAATGTTGGTATCCGGCTCTTATGACCTATGCTTTTGTCGTTATGAAGTTTACTAACCTTCTTCTCTTGTGCTGTAGCTCCCTGGAAATTCACTCGACTTGTTTCTCTGGCTCTAGCCCACCTCCCGCACTCCTAGATAATTGACTGCCTCGCTTGGAAATCTCTCAGTGCTTCACCTGCCTGCCCTCCTGCCACCACCACTTATCAGAACCTTTGGAACTGAGGTCAGCCCTCTCGTACCATTCAGCTCACCCGAACTAATATCACATCCCCTCAAAGCTCATCTCTCTCCACCTGCAAGTAAGCAGTCAGTTTAGTTATAGTCACCATCTCCTGCACTCAGTAGCCATTGCCACTCTAACCCCTTTCTTCCTTCTTCTCTCTCCTCAGTGTGATCACTAGACATTACCTGCCACGCTCCAGTCCCCCACCTCTGGTTCAATTATCCCCCTCTTGGTCCACGCCTTGGTTGCCACATCCCCACACCAAGTTATCTCATGCCACGTCATGTCAGTCCTTGTTATTGTGTCATCCCCTGGGTGACCGTGGCTCAGGGGGTTGGGAAGTGTATCTGTAACCGGAAGGTAGCCGGTTCGATCCCCGGGCTCTCTGTCCTGGTCGTTGTGTTCTTGGGCAAGACACTTTACCTTACTGCCTACTGGTGTTGGCCAGAGGGGCCGATGGCGCGATATGGCAGCCTCGCTTCTGTCAGTCTGCCCCAGGGCAGCTGTGGCTACAACTGTAGCTGCCTCCACCAGTGTGTGAGAGTGAATGAATAATGGCATTGTTAAGCGCTTTGGGTGCCTTGAAAAGCGCTATATAAATCCAATCCATTATTATTAAATTCTAGTCAAACAAAAGTTCTTAATCTTTCTTATTAATGTGCTCTCTCCTTTTCTGATTTATTTTTAGTGCTGATTGGCTGCAGAAGCCTCACCACACTGTTATAAAGCCAGAGATGGTGGAGCATAGTTGGGTTCTCCCTCACCTCCAATCCTAAACCTAACCATCAAAATAACACAGAAAACAAACACTGAGACAGAGATATACAAAACAAGGAGCAGGACAGTCCCATTGATCCAGGAGGGTGAAAGGGGCCAGAAAGGAGGGAAAGAAAAACAAGGGCTTTGGCCAGAGGCTCAGAACCCTTGGATTCCAGTTTAGGCTTTGGCTTGAGGTTCTTTGGAGACACTGGAGGAGCTGGAGGGCACTTTGGAGGATTCTCTGGAAGAAGTAGTCTTCTGGAGAAGACTCAGGAAGATCTGGGGGAGGCTGGAGCTCTGCTGGGCTCATAGCTGACTCTAGAGGCTGGGTTAGGACTGTGGGAATATCCATCCATTTCCTCTGTCAGTTAGGGCTGTTGTTAGGGTCTAGTCTTCCTCACTGAATAGATGTGGGTGCTGAGGAAGACTGGATCTTAGCTGTCCTCACTCTGGAATCAGGTAACTTTAAGCCAGATCTTACTTGGCCCACCTTTGGAGTTGGTATGGGCTTGGGATTAAGCTGGGTCTTAACCCTCCTCACTCTAGGAAAAGGCAAAAGTGAGCTGGAACTCAACCACCCTTGCCCTTGGAATAGGTACAGGAGTGGGGCTAAGCTGGGTCCTAGCCATCCTCATCTTGGAAAAAGCTATGATATTAGAATGCAAGTAGCTAGAAAGACCTTGGTCACCCCCTCCCAGTGAAATGGCATGAGAATAGGGACCCTATCTGCCCTCCCTCTGTCAGTGGCTACAGGTGCAGGCTTAGATACCCTAGGGACCAGGACAGATGCAGGGACTGCCAGGACCCTCATTGCCCTAACTTAAGGAACAGGTAGGTGTGTTTCTTTTCATGCAGTCTAGATAATGTTTCTGTTGTAGGTGTCACTGAAACCATTTCCTTCAACTTCAAGAAGTTTGGGTAATACCATACGAAATGACAGACTGAAATGAAATACTGTTTCTCACCAGCCTCTACAGTGCAATAGTCAGTACAAATGAAAACGTTTAAAAAGAGCAGTAAAAAGGCAATAATAAATCACAACAATAAATGGGGATAAATATAATAAAATCTAAATTCTAAAACAAACTCAAGTCTAAATAGTCACACTCGTACAGGTAGCAGCAGTCCTTTCCTGTGGAAGAAGAGTCATATGATACATAAAATATCTTTCTTGTAGATTGGTCCGATGCTGCCAACACCACCCTTGTTTGGGGAACATGCCAGGAAAACCCTTGGTTAACTTACCAACTTGATAATCAGCTTCATGTGACCGTTTATTCCAATCAACAATGTTAGGGGAAATAAATTCAGATAACAGAAAGATAACCTGGGTGTGTTGCATGAGCTTCATAGTATAGGGACCTGGTAGTCCTGACTTGTCCACCACTACAAGCCAGATTCCCAAATCTTTACTGGTTTCTTGGAGAACTGCTATCACTGACCTTTGGGCCTATTGTTTCTGTTGCTCTGTCTTTGTGTACCTGGTCTGTCACAACAGAGCGATTCGGAGCAGACAAATTAAGAGTTTTTCAGGCAATGTTTTCTATTTGCATGCAACATGTAGCATACAGTGGGGCAAAAAAGTATTTAGTCAGCCACCGATTGTGCAAGTTCCCCCACTTAAAATGATGACAGAGGTCAGTAATTTGCACCAGAGGTACACTTCAACTGTGAGAGACAGAATGTGGAAAAAAAAAAAAAATCCATGAATCCACATGGTAGGATTTGTAAAGAATTTATTCGTAAATCAGGGTGGAAAATAAGTATTTGGTCACCTCAAACAAGGAAAATCTCTGGCTCTCACAGACCTGTAACGTCTTCTGTAAGAAGCTTTTCTGTCCCCCACTCGTTACCTGTATGAATGGCACCTGTTTGAACTCATCATCTGTATAAAAGACACCTGTCCACAGCCTCAAACAGTCAGACTCCAAACTCCGCCAAGGCCAAGACCAAAGAGCTTTCGAAGGACACCAGGAAAAGTATTGTAGACCTGCACCAGACTGGGAAGAGTGAATCTACAATAGGCAAGCAGCTTGGTGTGAAAAAAAATCAACTGTGGGAGCAATCAGAAAGTGGAAGACATACAAGACCACTGATAATCTCCCTCGATCTGGGGCTCCACGCAAGATCTCATCCCGTGGGGTCAAAATGATCATGAGAACGGTGAGCAAAGATCCCAGAACCACACGGGGGGACCTGGTGAATGACCTGCAGAGAGCTGGGACCAAAGTAACAAAGGTCACCATCAGTAACACACTACAACGGCAGGGAATCAAATCCCGCAGTGCCAGACGTGTTCCGCTGCTGAAGCCAGTGCATGTCCAGGCCCGTCTGAAGTTTGCCAGAGAGCACATGGATGATACAGCAGAGGATTGGGAGAATGTCATGTGGTCAGATGAAACCAAAGTAGAACTTTTTGGTATAAACTCGTCGTGTTTGGAGGACGAAGAATACTGAGTTGCATCCCAAGAACACCATACCTACTGTGAAGAAAATCCTACCATATGAATTCATGGATTTTTTTTTTCCACATTCTGTCTCTCACAGTTGAAGTGTACCTCTGGTGCAAATTACTGACCTCTGTCATCTTTTTAAGTGGGGGAACTTGCACAATCGGTGGCTGACTAAATAATTTTTTGCCCCACTGTAGATAACCTATCCAAAAAATAAATAAAAAAAAAAAAAAAAAAAAAAGCTGGAATTCAAATATGAAAAACAAAAACACACCACATAATGACAACAGGGACACATTTATACTTAACCGCCATGTTTCTTTTAATTTATTAACTTTTTTTAAGAAGGTGCTTTGCACCAAACTGCATTATCCTCATACATTTCAAGAAATACAGCTTTACAGAATACAGTGATACAGAAACAGGAGTGCATCAGCTCTGCTTGACTCACAGGTGGTCAGACGTTTGACAGCTTGAGCCTCGACAAGTAGTTCCAACATCTCTCTATAATCCTCAGTGCATGTAAAACTTAATGCAGATAAATGCTTTCATGGCAAAGGTAAGACCGTTATGTTGGATGGTTCTATTTTGTTTTGTTTTTTTTAACTCACCAAAACATTTCTTTCAAGTTACCATATAAATAATCACCACAGTAATTACTGCTGAAGCATAAAATTATGAAATTATAAATTGTTCCATTTCAAATGTGATGATGATCATAACAGGCTCAATGGGTTTAGACTGGCAACTGGAAAGAATAGCCTATTTGTTGTTTTTTTTTGGAAGATTTGAACTAAAGGGGGGGGGAAAAAAAAAAAAAAAAAAGAAAAAAAAAGGTGGTTTCCAAATCTTCTCTTATTCTGTCTTGAGAGACAAAACAGTTTCAACTCATGCAGCCAGAACATAAACACATACTGAGTTATAGAGTTCCATAAATCTTATTCTATATGAAAAGATTACATTATTGCTTTACTTCTTAATATGTATATAAATACACACAATTGCAAAACCACTTGTGACAGTGTTTCAGTTAAATTATACTTTGAGGATGCTGGTAAGTCCACAACAACAGCTGGATGGGCTTATTTGCGCATCATTCAGTTCATGTCATCTTGTAGCAGAGAGTCCCTCTCTTCAGCTGAACTACATTTGATTCCATCCGATAGGTTGCTGTGGTCAGGTTGATTACTCTGTGTTAACAAAATAAAAAAAAGGTTATTAGTTGAATAATAAAATCACCCTGTGGTCTAGTCATGGCCAACCTGAAAAGGTTAGAAGTTTGATTTATCAACAATTTCGTCAATTGGTTGGATGAAGAAAAAAAAAAAAAAAAAAAAAAAAAAAAAAAAAAAAACTCCATATAAAAGACTTTATAATATCCAGTGGCATTTGAGCAGACACTGTATACATTCAGCCCCAATAACTGGGCAATAAATGACTGCTTAGACTCTTCTGGATAGTCCAAGGCAGCAGTAATATGAAAAGAGTAACCACTGCAACTGCAAAGGGTTAAAACCCCATCTGACAAACACACTGCCATCTATCCATCCAGCTCTCCTCTCCCTTGCCACCTCCTCTAGCTTGGGACAAGCACACTGAGATATTCTGAGGAAACAAGAAATATATTCTATAATATAATGCAAAATAATAATCCACATCACTGTAGCTGCGGCTACAGTGATGTGGATTATTATTTTGCAAATTGGATAAGGTCAAACATCAATATAATAGTACTAGTACTGGGAAATAAAACAGTGTTAATGAAACTAAGTGTGGTCACATTTTGCATTTTCCCAATCAAAAATTCCAGGAAAAGATTCAAATAAGTAATGTTGGGAAAAACATAATATAAATACTTGATTTTTATTCCTTTCACTTTCATTAAAGTCACTGTAACACTATAATAAAACAAATGAAGACATAAAACACATCAAAAATGCCAATAAGTACCTTTATGCTCCATAACATTGTGCCATGTACCTGAACAAACACTGGTAGGAACTCCATATCCCTGCACACACTAGATTCACTAATTACAGATTACTTTGAATCTGCCACCTGGTAGCTTGCAGAGTTTCCAGGGTCAAGCTGCCTATCTGACCCTTTAATGAATTTACAAGCAGGTCATATGTCAATCAGTAGTATCCTTTGCTCTTATTGGTAGTTTCTCCAGCATAAATTTCACCTGTAGTCGCTTTAAGTCATTGAACATCATGCACTTTCTACGATCTCTGTTTACCACAAGTTGCTTCCAATACGTTTTCTGCTTAAGAAAAATCTGTGCCCCCAGTTTGGGACAGACCGCTACAGCCACCCCTGTGGCTGCAGCTGTCTGTAGGAGGTAGAGCAGGTCAGCTGCTGGTTGGAAGGTTGGTTCGACCCCTGGCTCCCCCAGTTTGCATGCCAAATATCTTTGGGCAAGATACTAACCCCGACTTGCTCTCCAATGCATCCATGAATGACAGTTAGAAAGCACTGAAAGTATAGATAACAGTGCTTGTGTGAATGGGTGTGTATAGAGCACTTTGAATACTCCTGGAGAGTAGAAAAGTGCTACATAAGGCTACGTCCACACTAATGCATTTTCGTTTGAAAACGCATAGTTTTCTCTCAGTTTTGGCTTCCGTCCACACTGAGACGACGTTTTCCTCAAGGAAAAAACGCAGCGTTTTAGAAACTCTTGAAAACGCATACATTTCAAAATGGAGCTATCCCGTCACAGTGTGGACGCTCGAAAATGCAGACTTTCTAAAAGGATGACGCATTTTAGTCATGTGACCAATTAAACATAGCGGAGGGCATTATACAGCAGTTGTTTTGATTGCTCTCACTTTTGACAGCCCTAAAAAAAAGATTAATATCAGTTTGTACATGCTCCAGATAGCTTTTTTTTCCCCCCAATCCTTTAAATCTCACTCACTTTTGCGCAGGACTGGGATGTAAGCGTTTTCGGCCGTTTCAATGTGGACGCACAACTCTGTGAAAACGACTGAAACGCTAGTGTGGACGAGGAGCATTTTCAGACAAAAACGCTGTTTTCAAATCTATCCGGGCTAGTGTGGACGTAGCCTAAGAATGTCCATTTACCATCCCCAGCTTCCTGATGACCTTAACACCGTCTACTGCAAATTTCAAAGACAACCATTCACACCTCCCATCTGCTCATACCTGCACAAAAAGACTACCTGCAGCCCTCACACCTCTCTCCTCTGACCCGTTACTTACTAAAGCTCTGTGAGGAGGATGTGTGTTCCCTCTTCCAAAAAAAGAGCTTTAAAGAGTTTAATGACATGCCAAATTTTGGTCCGCATGAACATGCTAAAAACAAGTACAAAGACACACACAGGTTTCTTTACATCTGTAGTTAGTAAGAGACAAAATGGTTACATTGATAGCAAACCTGGTTTAAAAACAAACAATCATTCCTTAAACTAGACCCAGGAAGTATTTTACTGATCAGAATGCAGTAAAAGCCCAAAAAGGTGGTTGTTCATCCATATTGTCATGGTTGAACTGGACGGCTAAATACTCTATCAGTCGAAAACAATAGTTTGAGTTAACTTTTCAGTCTAGGTAGAAAATGTGCTTTTATTGCCAAGGTGTTCTAGGTTTTAAAAAACTCTGAACATAAATGAACAATACTCTTATAGGGTACATGTGTTCACCTGCATGTGTGCACCCACCTGAAGTACTGATACTTTTCTTCTTTGTTTCAAGGCCATGTGAGCCTTTTACTGGCTCTTTCTCGGCTGCCTAAAAGATGACCAAATTGCCTTAAAAAAAAAAATCAGCCAATCCGAAAATTTAAACAGAGAAGGTTGCTAACGGGATTTTGATAGTCATTTGGGTTTTTCATATTAGACTGCTAGAGATTGTGTAGAGAGATAGTGTAAGGATTCATGCAGGGAGTCATTTGAGGTGATAATTTGATTTCCATGCAATTAATCAAAGGGACATGCAGTTGGTTACGTTAGTCTTTTTAAAATGATACTTATGAAAATGGACACTGTCAGCTTGTTTACATGGAAGATTATCATTCTAATTTTATGTAGCATTGAATTATAAATAATAATAATTTAATAAAAACTATCAAATGCAAAGATTTTTTTCAAGATCCAAGTAAAAAAAAAAGTAGGTTGTAAAATCAAAACCATAGTATTCGTATCAGAGAACCTCAAACCAATAATGTTTCAAGAAATTTGGATTGTTAACACCATTATATTCAGTGTGTACTTTCATGCTAATAACAAAAACCTGAAAGCAGGAAATCTCTCCAATTTCAGGATATAAACCACACATATTTTCCCCTCCACTCTAATCAGTCTTTAAAAACTCCAAAAAATGAATTCAGTTACTACAGTTTAAATCAAATAATCATTTGATCTGGCAAAACAATTTAGGTTTGAATGAGTGAAAGGTTTTACACACCCCAACATTCTTGATAAATGTGGAGCTCAGTGAAACATTTAAGTTAGACCGCTGCAAAATAAATAAAAATTAATTAATTAACAACAACAACAACATAAAAAATTAAGTTTGATATTAACAGCTGCCACTACTCACTTAACTTCTCAGTAAGTACACTTTGGCTCAAACAAAAGTTTTGGGGCCAGTGTTGCTACTACCTTCTTGACTCTCATAAGCCTAGTGACAATTTTCATACCTTAACAAAATGGGAAAACAATTATCTAAACTGTTAAATGTAAAATAAGAAATAAATACTTACATACAATATATGAAGAAATTGGGGGGGGGCTTGCCATTAATGATAATTTATACTGACAGTTGAATAGTAAGATAACACTGCCATGTCTACATTTAATTGGCAAGCAAAAAATAAATGTTAGCTTAGTATAAATGGCTGCAGCTTTATATCTGGCAATACAATACCTACCTTTTCATGTGCGATCAAATCCAAAAACTACTTGTTTTTGCTTTTGTTATTAAAAAAAAAACAAGACAATATAACATGATGACTCAACAAGACTTTTTTCCTTATGCTTTCATCACGATTGGACTACTGTAATTCACTGTTTACATGTCTAAACAAAAACTCCCTGGAGCGTCTGCAGACTGTCCAAAATGCTGCAGCAAGGCTTCTGACAAAAACATCGAAATACTCTCATGTAACACCATTGCTTATACAGCTGCACTGGCTCCCCGTTGAATTCAGAGTCCATTTTAAGATTCTGGTTCTGACATTTAAGGCTCTTCAAGAACAAGCACCAGCGTACATCATTGAACTCTTACAGCCCTATGGCCCCTAGTAGGTCCCTGAGGTCTTGTGATCAGGGCCTACTTGTTATGCAGTATACAAGACTGAAAACCAAGGGTGATAGAGCTTTTGCTACTGTGGCCGCCAGACTGTGGAATTCTCTTCCTCAGAACTTAAGATCTGCAGACTCAGTGATTACTTTTAAAAAACAGCTAAAAACACATCTTTTTAAAATTGCATTTTTTTTTTTAACTTTTGACTGTTTGCTTTATACCTTGTGAAGCACTTTGTGATCTTTTATCTAGAAATGTGCTATATATAAAAAAAATAAAAAAAATTTACTTACTTACTGACAAGCACTACCGTTTACTGTGCCACACCTAATTAAGCCATAGCGGATATTTTGCATGGCATTAGTTTGAAGATCAACAGACCGTAATACTAATAATGTGATGGAGGTTACCACAGTAACATGACCCGATGTCGAGTCAGTCGGGGCGCGCGGGGGAGGGGGGGTTAGATACCAAGTTAATGATTCTGTCACATGAATGCAAGGAAAGGAGCAGAAGTGAGTGCAACTGATCGAGATACTTTATTAATTACTACCAATTTACCTTTTTCTCTGTTTATTTACTTATTGACTAATTTACAAATTTTAATCCTGAAACTCAATGAGAGCAGCTTCAGGGCATGCTTCCCTACTCCTTTTCTTTCATTGGTGTAGGGAAGAAAAAAAAAACCAAAATGCAACGTGCAGTTAAACAAGATAACATGCTGGCCTGAATCCTGTGTGGCAGCTTTACCTTCACTTTGCGATACACTACAGCAGCGATGATGATGGTTGCCAGACCAAGCCCTATGAGGATGTACTGTAGGTATTCCAAAACAGTAGGTAGAACAACCAAGTTTGTACGGAACGTATTGACGATTGGGCCATCAATATATCCGTTCTGAAGAGGATAAATAAAACACTTACAAGATTTTAATCCACACAGAACCATTCTGTAGAATTTTAATCTGTTTGTGCAAAAAAATTGCAGAAGAATAGATGTAAAGACACTACATCATCTATATCATTAATAACTCACCTCCTCAAACCAGATCATAGGCATCACCACATCAGAAATCTTTCCAGTTTCACTAGAAGGACAAGGACATTCAACTTTACACTCCAAGGTTACATAGCAAATGGTAAGAAAGGCAGGAAATATCCAAGACCCTTTCATATTTAATGATCACAACATATAAAACAATACATGACAATGTCTCTGGCGTGATAGTAGTTAAGGGAATAGTTCTTTACGTAATTCCTGAGACTTTTTTCATGTAGAGGTTGAGCTGCAGGCGGATGGACACATTCAGAGGGACACCCGTTTGCTGCAAAAAGACAACAAAAATATACAGATCTCACACTGGGAATAAAAAAGGAGGGAATTATACCTCAAACACCATAAATGTGCTGGAACATGCAAATCTCCAGGTAGCAATTAAAGATATGGTCACATAATTTTAACAATAAACTCAAGGAGGAAATGTTCTGTTTGACTGGTTCATCTGAGGGAGGATGCACATAACTGCTGTTCACTTTTAGCTTCATATTATTTATTTTTTATCTCTACAAAATGGCCTCAAGTGATTTTAACTTTAAAAGCTTTGCCGAACTCAATGTGGGTGAGCCTACAAGCCATTTCCAGTACAGGACATTTTGCATAGTAACCTGAAGCTGAAAGCAACCATTTACTTTTTGAACCCACAGGAAATTACATGTAGCCTGGGCACAGACTTGCTTTACTCTACATGAAAAGACGTGCTTGAAAGGAGAAAACATGTCTGCTACACTTTAAAAAAAAAAAAATCCATAGTTCTATACACACTGAAAAAAGTCTCCTCACTAAAAGAAGTGTAATACAATTAGCTCAACAGCACAGCTGACAGATTGCAGTGATTTGTAGCGAATCAGCTTTGAAAAGCAAAATAAATAAATAAATAAATATGGTCCAGCTTTTCTATTACATTTTGTGAGTTAGCTAAACTTTTAAAATATTTTAATCTACTGCTGTACACAATTCTCTCATCTTTTATTGACATTTTTTTCCAAGAGATTTTAGCTCAATGTGTCCATAAAACAAACTACAAAGTTCACTTCCAGACATGTGGCTCTGATAAAAAGTTAATATGGGCTGAAGGCAGGAGAAAGACGACAGCTGAGGATAGACAATAGGAATGCAGCTGTTGGCAGAGCCAAAACAGAACAGAAGATCTAAAAGAAAAATGTGCATAATATACATGTATGACAGAAATGAGTGCCATACATTTTATTATAATGTTCAAGTTATAGTGTCAAGTCATGTGTCTCATGTAACATTACTTTGGTAAAAATACCCCCCACACACACACACACACACACACACACACACACACACACACGTTCCCTATCATTTCCTTGATATTTCATGTCAGCACAAACTAAATGTACCAAAAAGATTCAAATTTCTGGCACTGAGAGAAAGAGAAGAAAACTAAGAGATAAAACCAGTGTCCTCAGTGCCATGTTCAAGAGTCAGGATACTTGGCTCTATCGTATGATAGAGCCATAAAAATCCCAAGCCATCTGATGTTTCTTAATTATTAACTTAAGTGTGAATGTTGCCCTGCTGAAATCCACTGAACATCTTGTGAGCTTTTATCCGGACAGTAAAAACTCTTTCACTATCAATACTGACTTTTTATTGGCATCATAGAACGTTTTTAATAACCCTTTAACTGACAAACAACAGCAGTTATACAGGAATAGCCCAATTTCCAATTACCTTATCTTAATGACCGTTATAGAAAAAAAGACTGTATTAGGACCAGTGGTAGTGTTTTAGCAAACTCAACATTTAACATTAGCAATAAAGGTTAAAGGCAATGCAATTTTTAAAAGTTGATTATAATAACTTAATGCGGAAATGACTTCAAATGTAAAAATGTGTACATCTTTTCATAATGAATGAAATACAAATCTGATTTGCAAAAATCTCTCATCAGTAATAAAAAAGAAAAACATACTTTTTTAAAGTGAAAACATGCTTTAGAGTTAGTTTTATTAAGTCATTTTCTTACAAAATTATAAAAACAATATTTTCTAATAAGAAAGAGTTCAATTATGTCTTTGATTAAAATGTAATCAGCATCAGCAAATGGTGACAAATGCAAATTATCTAATGAATCCATCAAATTGAGCAAAACCTCGCAAATCATGAGAATCACTCAGCAGTGAAAATGCAGACTTCAAGCTCTTGCAGACTTCTTTGCCTGTCAATATACTGTTAATTGTTTTTTCATTAAGATATTTTAATAAATAACTTTTTGTATGTTTATCAAATCACTATCTTTGCTCTTAAATAACATGGGGCCTTAAGTAAAGAGTGACTCTTCACAGGTGCAGTATTGCCTTTCCCGATCTACTTTACCAGTAAACCGCAGTCTTAGCCCAGAAGATGGCCTATAAATGTCTTTGTTCTTATATAAATTCATCTTTAGATGAAGAAAGTACCGTTTCTTGTTTTCAAAACTTACACTCTTAGTCACAACAAAAAAAAACTAAACACTATACTTAATGGAACCCCATGCCGACTGATGTCCCTTTATCATTAACTTGATATCAACGTGGGCTTGATGGAATTGACTGAACAATGTTGTAAGGTTTAATCTATGAAGCAAAAATCATTTCTGTATCAACTGAGATTTTTCTTTTATTGAAGCAATAGATAACATGGAGAAATAATCAAATTTCCAATTACCTTATCACAACCACAGCTATCACTAAAAACGCTGCATGTGATTTTTACACAGGCAGAGTTGCATAAGGAATGACACATGGGAATATCTTTTTAGTCTTATCAGTCATTGGCTTTTTCTGTACTGTAGCACACAGGTTACTGCGTGACTGTACAGTAATAAAACTACATATCAATTTTCCTATAGCTTTACCATCCAGAAAAATAAACATTAACTTTAAACCTCATCCCCTTAGCTTACCGCTTTATCACTGCTATTTTGCATTAGTGATGACTGAATGATTGCAATGTGATAAGGAATCTAACTTTAAGTGTTTGAGGAAGACTGAGAAGGTGACAGACTTGGTCTTGTATTGTAGAAAAGAACAAAAACAGTTGGATGTAAGTGATAATGGTACGATACAACCTTTAACTAAATTCTTCCACAAATTTGCCATCAGGATGGCCTCTTATAGGTCAAAATGCACCCTACATGCTTCTCTCTGTGCCATAAAACTTGACAAATAACAGAAGGTCTATGATATGCAAGAGTCCAGCTACACTCATGATCACAGCAGGTTTCAAGGACAATGGGGCTGACTTCTAATATCCTTACAACAATATTGCAGACTAATGACATTCATTTTAAATATAAGCCAGTTACAAAATGTTACACACTTTTCATTGATCACAAATGCACTTTCACTTGCGAGTCTTGCAAGTGGGTCTGTTCCAAAATAAAATCAAATTTAAAAGGAGTTGCAGCTTAAGTTGGAGTCTTCACAGTAACATGAAAGCATAAATTAAGTATATACCATTTCTAATAAGCAATGGGAAGAGATGCGTTTAAAAAACAGAACAAAGAGAAACAAAAAAAAAGCCCACAAATAACTACTGCATCAATAGAAAACATTGCTAACCTATGAGCTTTGAATCAAAATTATGATGACCAACTGTACACACTGTGGTGTGTGTGCTGTATACTCACTGGGTGAATGTCTATGAAGAGGCCGTGCTTCTCCTCACTGGGATTAAGACCCTGCACGTAGTCCAGCAGCACAGGATCAGCATTAAAGAAGTGAGGATGAGAGATGAAGACTGGAGAGTCTAAAATGTTCAAAGAATGGCAACATTAATAAACTGGCCCATTGAGGAAAAAAAAAAAAAAAAAAAAAAAAATCTATCAAGTACACTCACAACTCATGGCTTGTTGGCAATCCCTGCCATGTCTCTAAGATCGCATTGGTTTAGTTAAGGATGTTTTCACACCTGTGGAAAGGTTAGGCATTTTCATGCAATGCCTAACCTTGCATGAAAATGCTTGAAATTGCTCCAATTGTTGAGAACCACCGGAAAAAGCCGGCTCACATGGTTGTAACACTGTTTTGAAGCACAGCAGAACGATTAGCTTTAGCCCCTTTTCCATTAGTACCTGTTCTTATCGACTATTTTCAACTACAATCGAGTACCACCGAATGTGCGTGGCCATCATAATAGCAACGCAGCTGAGTGTCCTGCGATATAATGAGTATGTGACATAAAGGCTACAACGAAGGTGGATGTGAAGGCAACTATATACACCTGCTGCTAGATCAGATTCCGGGACCACAGCGTTGTTTTTGGTAGCCATTTCCCTTGTTGCCTTGGGTTTCAAAACTGGCAGTTTTTATTTTCGTGGACAAAAAATAAATAAATTTTTGCGTTCTTTTTAAAATTCTATCTTTAAGAATTTTATTACCAAGAGCCTGTGAAAAAAAATAAAAAAAAATAACAAATTGTTCCAGAAATTTCTTTAGATGAATCTATGAAAAACTCCAAAAGGTCTAGCATTTTTATCAGTGCATAGTTTTGTGCCATCAAGGTGATTCACAAAGTGGTATTAACTGAAAAGTTAATAAGCCTTGGCATACTAACTTGAGTGTAGTGAGTTCCTATAAAGGAAACTGGACAGGCAGAGGACAAAATAAGAAAAAAAAAATATCAGGGTTTAAAAAAAATAAATAAATTAAAAAAACAAAACAAAAACTCTACAGCAGACAATCATTATCTGAAAGTCATGCCCCCATGAAATAGGGGAGGAAAATCCAGCAAAGACCTTACATGGGACCTAAGAAATACATCTGGACCATGAGCTGTCTGAAAATCAGTGGCAACAGGTTTCATGGAATGATGAATCTAAATTTGGGATTTCAACACCCCAGACTTCAAAAACTATTGTACACATTTTATTTATTTTTTTCAAAATATAAAGAAATGGGTAGTGGTAGGTCTTTCTAATAACCTCTGGGAATGCTGTGATGGACTGAATATTTATTTCGCCTACACTGATCATCATTACTCACTGTGGCGGCAACTGCTAACATTGAGGAGTCCAGACTGTCTACAGGGGCAGAAGCCTTCATTGGGAGCATAATCCGTCCCATTGGCAAAAAGGGTCTTGGGTGCAACATATCGATATAGAGGGATCCCGTTCATCTCTCCAGGACGCTGATAAACCAGCTCCATAGACCTGGAAAAACAATGGGTAAATATATGAAGGAATAATGGGAGAGGCAGAACTGAGGGAAAAAAAAATAAATTTAAAAAATTAAAAAAAAAGTACAATTCTGCAAAGCATTTTACCTGCACGCGTCAGGGCTGTAGAAAGGCAAAGTGCTCTGTTTCGTCATGAAAGGAGGCCACATCTGCCCAGCTGTTCCATTGATCATGTTAGACTGAGCAGTCCTCCAGTATGGCAGCTATCACCAAAGAGAAAGAGGCCAGTTACAGTGTGAAAAATAAAATGGTGTGAGGGGAAGGAAAACAAAAACAGCAACAAAACACAATCTGCTGGCATCATACCTCAGTCAGACCATTCCAAGAGTCGACTCTGTGGACTTTTCTAATGTCATCTTTTCCAGTAAAGACTGTGAACAGGCCAGTGTTGGAGTTGTTGAACTAAAGAAAGCATAAAAGGCAGACATCTTTCTTTACCTGCTCAAAGAAATTTCATGCAAGAGACAAATCTGTTCCTTAAACTGAACCTATTATGCTCATAGTAATCAGATAGAGAGGATAACGAAGCATTTCTAATACTTACTTCTGAAAAGAGGCCAAATTTTCCTGATGTGGGAATCATTCCTGGCAGGTATTGATTTAGAAAATCCACTAGTCCACTGTCATAACCCCACATAAGCTCCCCTACAGGCTTGGTCAGGAAGGGACCTTCTTTAAAAGTTTTAAAGGTTGCACTCATCATGAGGCGCAGTACATAGGGCAAGTTTTCCATCATCACTGATGCACCCTAAAATTACAGAAGCCACAGGCTGTGAAAAAGCAGAAAACTGAGGAAATTATTGAACCAATCAAGAAGTGAGGAGGTGGCAACAATGTCTTACCAACACCAACATGTTTGGAATTGTGACAACATCAGACTCGTTCCCAGCAGACATGGAGGGCTCGAAGTGGTACTGTCTGTATTCCCTGTAGGACACTGTACCGTTGGGATGGAATGTAATGTTTTCCTTCTGACACTGCTTTCTGGAAGAAAGGTAATATGTCCACTCAAAACCTGTGCTTCAAGTCCACCTCTGTACACACATCTTAAGGGTTTAATGCAGGGGTCCCCAATCTCAGTCCACGAGGGCCGGTGTCCCTGCAGGTTTTAGATGTCTCCTTGATCCATCACAGCTGATTTAAATGGATAAATTACCTTCTCAACATGTCTTGAAGTTCTCCAGAGGCCTGGTAATGAACTAATCATGTGATTCAGGTGTGTTGACCCAGGGTGAAATCTAAAACCTGCAGGGACACCGGCCCTCGTGGACTGAGATTGGGGACCCCTGGTTTAATGGATTCAGTTATCCTTACGAGAAAGTCAAAAATTGACAGACCTTAAAACATCAGACACAAAAAAGAAAACAAACCATAAAAAATAAAAAGCTCTTCTGGTGTCTCAGGTTGTTGCAGCCAAATCATTTTAATTTATTTCTGGAATGTCCTGATAGTTGTTTTCAATAGAAAAGTCTGAAGTGGTCTACCATTTGCAACCTCTGTCCTTTAAATAAGAATCACATCCTTCCAGAATGCTTCCTCTCCCCCCCCCCTCCCTTTCAAATCCCAAAAGGTGAACACATGCTCTTGTGGACATGACCAAAACTTATGACAGTGAGCATGTTTCAGTCCAATTACAATATGTAAAAAAAAACAAGTTTAGCCATATATTTTAAAAAAAAATTAATTCTTAAACACCTTTTGGACGGATATAAATTGTAGCTCACGCTTATAACACTTGTTTAAAATTGTTTACACTTCTACTTCTAAAATTAGTTTTCACTTCTACGTTCTAGGTTTAGAAGAAAAAAAAATTAAGTTTTGGTTAAATTGGGTTAGGCTTAAGTTTAATGTTATCTGTTATACTGATAAATGGCATTCAACGAGATCTGTAGGTGGCAATAGTTGCAATTAATATCGAACCACCAATTCGTCAACCAGTTTCTTAAAGGGCAAAAAGGAGCAAAAATTGATTATTTAAGATGAAGTTGTAAAAGAGATCCTGTTGCAATCTAAAACAAAAAATTTTTTTTATTTTTTATTTATTTTTTTTTTTTAAATTGTAGCAAAGGATGTGAACTCCTAGAACAGTAATAAGTCTGTAGAAAGCAGTTAAGCAGTCACTATTAATGACATTAATAATACATTTCTTTTGCTGGTGTCTTTAAAAACACTCAAGGTCTACTTAATGCACAAAATTAACAATATCATGAATTAGTAAAATAGCTAGAAAGATTTAAAATCCAGAAACAATGCACAAAACATGAACAGCTGGAGCACTGACTGAGTCTAGTTTCATAATAACCTGTACAACAACCTTCGACCCAGCGTCATCTAGCCACCGTACACTATGCTATCATGATCATAGTCAAGGGCGATCGTGGCTCAAGAGTTGGAAGTTCGCCTTGTAATTGGAAGGTTGCCGGTTCGAGCCCCGGCTTGGACAGCCTCGGTCGTTGTGTCCTTGGGCAAGACACTTCACCCATTGCCTACTGGTGGTGGTCAGAGGGCCCGGTGGTGCCAGTGTTCGGCAGCCTCGCCTCTGTCAGTGCGCCCCAGGGTGGCTGTGGCTACAATGTAGCTTGCCATCACCAGTGTGTGAATGTGTGTGTGAATGGGTGGATGACTGGATGTGTAAAGCGCTTTGGGGTCCTTACGGACTAGAAAAGCGCTATATAAATACAGGCCATTTACTTAGCTCCAGTTTACCAATGAAGTTCCTTCCAGTAAAATGGATCTTTAATTCTTTTACATTTTTTATAAACAGGAGCTTTCTGGGACATACAGAGTATTATACCATTAATAAAATTTCTAATTTATTAATAAAATTATAAATTTTATGAATCTAACTTTATTACAAAAAAATAAGTCCATTTGGAGTTTTACTGGAGCAAACTTTATTGAAGTTTAAGTATCCAACAATTTAAAGTTTTTAACTGATAGTTAAGGTTGAGCACAAGTCCTCAAGAGTTAAATTGTGTACCTGTAAACATAAGGTCCTCTCTGTTCCACCATCGGCTTTTCTCCTTTCAGTATCTCAGCAGGATTGAGGACATTGAAGAAGTAGACTGACATAAAGAACGGCACAGGGATGTCTTTCCACATGGTGTATGTGAGATCATTCTTTGGATCAATTACTGTGTGCTGATGTGAAAGAGAGGAAAAAAACAAAAGCAAAAGAATGAGCATTTTCGTCATTAAGGTTTTTATACATTTTCACAAACTAATAGAGAAAAAAAAAACTAAATTCAAGGGGACACCTTTAAATTGCTTTTTTCTTATTTTATTTACCTAAAAGGTCCCAAATCCTGAGATTGTGGTTCATCATCTTAAAAGTTACACAACATTATATTTCATTCTAATTTTAATCTATTATTTACATTTAGGTTTTTGTTATAGTCACAAATGTTCCTACAAATATGATATGAATCTATTCCTTTTAAGAATACTTCTTTGTGGTGCTCCTTATGCAATTACTAAATTGAGCACATTGAGTGATTAGTTAGAAAGTAAAAACACTATGTAACTATGCTTTCTGGATTTTTCTATGTGAAAAATGAAAATAAAATTATTAAATACATCCAGTCTTTGATAGTGCAGTACAGTTCAAACACCTGGTATGTAGAAATGCTATATTTCTCACCATGTTTATGTTTTGTAGCCTCATATTTAGCTCAAACAGGGTAGGATGACAGCGTGTCTGCATGTGCCCTAACTACAAAGTTCAACTCAAAAGGGAACCAACTACAACTTAAAGAGTTCGCTGCTAACGGGAAAAAGCAGCACTGCGAACTGACAACAGAAATAAAGCAAACTAAGGAAGTAGGCAATACTTTTGCACGTATTTTTTCCTGTTCTGCATATTATTTAAATAATAATAATATTACTTGTATCGTTTTACTGGGATATATTGAGTGAAAGGAAAGTTGAAAAACCTCCGCCTGTTGTGATTTTTAATATGGAAATAAATGACATTACCAATAATAGTTTAGTTAGTTAATCAAATCATTTTACTAACATTGGACATGCTTGACTCTTTAAAAGCCTCAGAAAGTTTTTCCGGAGCTATTAGCATTGTTACTTAATCTGACTACATGCATTTACTGATTAGCTTATCTGCACGCGCCTGTTATCATTTACTGGTTAACTCTGGAGGCTCTTTGAAGTACTTAAGTCCTCGGGTACGATTAAAGGTGAATCTTGCTTGACTCAGCACATACAAGCACATGTGTAAAACATGCTAACTATCCGTGTCAGGACGTTTCTTACCTTTACTATTTGGTCGTCGATGACTAATGGCACCACAAAACACATAATTGTGCCGAAAAGCACCATCAGCACACCTGCCACTATGAATCCAATAGCAACTTTAGGTCGTTTAATTGCCATATTGACAGGCTGTCAGTGAGTCTTCGTAGCTTTGTTTTGTCCGTGTCCGCACTTTTTGTCGGTAAAGATAAACGGAGTCAGCTTAATGACTCCACCAGAGTCTCGGCATGAAACAAAACTTATAATTAAACGTACATTCCTCTGAGATCTCTGCGGGTCGCTCATCTCTCTAATCGATGATGTTCTGACCTGCTTTTATTGTCGCTGTATTTGCGCTGTTTGACACGCCTACCGAGGATTCTGGGAAATGGAGTTCCCGCTCTCTATATCGGGCCATAAGTAAAAGCTTAAGTAATTGCCCGATCTTTCAAGATATCTCCCAAGTGGCAAGAGCTTTTGGTATGCTGTAGGCATAGTGTATTCTTAAATTTACTTTAGTATTAAAGGAGGAAAATAGGAAAGGGCTCAGAAATGAGCAGAGCTCCTGTAACAGGCTGCCACACAAGAGGGGCGCCGGAAGTAACCATATTATTGTACCATTCAAGTCCAATTTCAAAGACAGTCTGTGGTTACATACTTTTATTCTGATTTATTTGATATTCTTCAAGGAAAAATATTTTTGCCACCTTTCATCTATAATTCTACTTTAATTTTAAAAGTTTAATATTCAGATCAAGTATTGCATTTGGGGATTTTTTTTATTAACCAAACTCAGGACCTTCCTGCTGTGAGGCAACAGGGTGCTATGGCTTATGGCTTATCCTGAATATTAAGCAGCGTCGGGCCTGGACAGCACATGGATGGGATACCGCACGGGAATACCAGATGCTGTTTTTATGTGTTAGGCTGGCAACCTGTGCAGAGTGTACTCTGCTTCTCGCCCTATGGAAGCTGGGACAGGCCCGACCCTGACCTGAGTTGGATAAGCGGAAGAGAATGGATGAATGGATGGTCTATAAAAGCTCACATGAGGTTTAATCTCCTGCCAAAAAGATTTCTGCCTCATTTAGATAAAGCAGTGCATGGGTCCAGATATAAGAACGTGTTTGAAGCAGTTTTTAAGAACACTTAAGAGCCTCCTTTGTTTCGTTTTCAGAGGTTTTACTGGAAATATCATTGCATCTAGATAAGATAAGATAAGATAAGATAAGATAGGATAAGATAAGATAAGATAAGATAAGATAAGATAAGATAAGATAAGACTTTATTGATCCCACGGCGGGGAAATTTGTGCGCTACCTCAGCTCAGGTACAAATAGCAGGAGAAAAATACAAAAATACAAATAAAATACAAACAAATACAAAATAAGGAGGATGATACACTATATACAACAGTAGCATACACAGTATGTGATTATGGATAGAGGGTTCTGGAAATATGCAAGAAATTTAACTCTTCTACTGCTATGTAAGTAATAGATATCTATAAGTATCTATAAGTATAGACATGTATACGCACACAGACACACACACATGTACACACTAAATATACATATGTATACATATACATACACATATACCTGCACATATGTGTATCTAAAATAGATAACTGTAGTCTGGACATGTGAACATTCAGCTAACAGATCAGAAGTCAGTGCCATGATGTCTGCAACCTTCATGCTTGGAATCATTGGTTCATCATTGGTGAAACATTGGTATTTTATTTTTTTGTTAAATAAAATGTTAATAGGAGTAAACAGACTACATATGCAAATACCTGACACAATAAATATGTAGTCAAAGACAAGTGCTCTTTGTAGATAATAGATAAGCTATTTAAACACTCCATATACAATAAGATGGTTGCTATACCTGCAAATGTCAACCTGAATGAGTCTAACTAACTTTTGTGATGAAGCTTTGCCTTTATGCAAAATAAAGAAAAACAAGAATTTATATTCGCTTAAGCAAAAGAAAAAAGACAAAGAAATTAAAATGGAACAGGAAATAAACAGAGCACCCTGATTATAAAACTCTGAAGTATTCACATAACGATAATACTTACCTTCACAACTTGGTTGCTTATTACTGTTGGTCCCACAATTACAGAAATTGCCCCAAAAATCAAAGTCAGACCGCCTGCCACTATAAATCCAACAGCTACTTTGGATTTATTGATGGCCATGGTTGCTTCTTAGCAATGATCAGTGGTGTCTGATAATAAAAGAAGACACTGTTTTGCTCCTCTTGCCTCTGAGTCTGCAAGCCAACAGGCTGAATGAGTGTGTCGTGTTTTAAAGCCGAGCCACTGGTAGTGATGTATTCAAAGGAAATAGCAGTTGAGTGAACAGCTTGAGTTTATTCTCCGCAGACCCCACCCCTCCTTGTATATGCACATCTTCACTACTTTAAGAGAACTACAAAAAATATATGGAAAAAAATGCAAAAAATACCGTGCATCCCAAAAGTATTGACAGCACTTCACATTCCACATTTTTCCATGTTGCAGCCTTGTTCCAAAATAGTTTAAATCCATTTCACCTCACAATTCTGCAAAAAATACTCTACCCTAGTGACAAATGAAAAAAGTTGAAGTTTGTAATTCTTGCAATTTTATTAAAAAGAAAAGAATATATAACATGTTAAATGGACTGGTTCCCATATACTACTTTACTATGACATCTGAGCACTCAAAGTGCAACTTGCCTCATACATACTTACACATACAATACTCTTTTTTCTGTGTGTTTTCTACATAAGTTCTTTCTATCTAACATTCACACACACATTCATACGCTGATGAACACATAGGAGAGCAATTTGGGGTTAGTATGTTGCCCAAGGATATTAGACTGGAGCAACCAGGGATTGACCAGCTACAGCCACCCCTAACATGTACATAAGTATTCAAAGCCTAGGCTCATTGCTAGCACCTTTGGCAGCAATTACAGCAACAAGTATTTTTTGAGTATGATGCTTCAAGTTTGGCACACCTATTTTTGGGCAGTTTCTCACATTCTTTTTTGTAGCACTTGTCAAGCAAGCTCCATCAAGTTGGATGGAGGGCACTGGTTTTCAGATTTCTCCTGATATGTTAAATCAGGTTCAAGTCTAGCATCTGGCTTGGCCACTCAAGGACATTCACAGAGTGGTCCCAAAGCCACTCCTTTGTTATCTTGGCTATGTGGGATCATTGTCCTGTTGGAATATAACCCTTTGCCTTAGTCCAAGCGCTCTGGAGCAAGTTGTATCAAGCATAATGCTATGCATTGCTGCATTCATCTTTCCCCTCATCGTTCCTGCTGCTGAAAAACATTCCCAAGGCATAATGCTGCTGTGCTTGGTTTCCTTCAGGCATGACGTTTGGTATTCAGGTCAAAGAGTTCAATGTTTGGTTCATCAGACCAGAGAATTTTGTTTCTTATGTCTAAGAGCCTTTCAGGTTCCTTTAGGCAAACTAGGCTGTCGTGTACCTTGTATTTCAGTTCAATTAAATTTTACTTACATAGCACCAAATCACAATAACACTCACCTCAAAGTGCTTTTACTGAGGAGCTACATCATCCATTGATGGATAACGTAAAACGATGTGCTCATTGGGACCCTCAATGCTGCAGAATTTTTTCTGTACCCTTCCCCAGATCTGTGCCTTGATACAAACCTGTCCTGGACATCTACAGGCAATTCTTTGGGCTTCATGGCTTGGTTAGTCCTTTGACATGCACTGTCATCTGATGGACCAGTTTATGCCTTTCCAAATGATGTCAAGTCAACTGAAATTACCAGAGATGGACTCCAATCAAGTTGTAGAAACATCGGACAGATGATTCAACACGTTCTCACTCCCAAAGCGTAACATTTTACGCTAGGTGATTAGTGGAATCAGGATGCACCTGAGCTTAATTCTTAGTATCATGGAAAAGGCTGTGAATACTTATGTACTTTTTAGAATACTTTTTTGGTTTGTTTATTAAATAAACATATTTATTAAATGAGTTTTTAAGCAAACATTTTCACGTTGTCCCTATGGCGTACTGTGTCTAATATTTTAAGGTTACAATTAATTTAATCCATTTTGGAATAACGCTGTAATATGACAAAATGTGGAACAAATGAAGCGCTGTGAATACTTTCCGGATGCACTGTATGTAAAAGATACATGGTCATCGGTTTTTGGTTCCTGAAGTCCATTTGTCAAGCTCAAGTTGACTTTTATTGCTCTTGCCATGCTGGTGCTTTGAGAATGGACATGAAGAGCAGTCAGACTGTGAAACTGATACTGCTTATGTTATCACAGGCTTGTCAGTCTCATTATTCGGTATAATCTGTTTTATCTTCCTTTCTGACTCTGATGGGGGACACTAATTTACGTGTCAACCAGCTAGCAAATGTAAGTGTTAACGTTTAACTTTATTATGGAAGTGTTGTAGTTTTATTACAATAAAATAGCCAGAATGATAATTTTATATTGGAAGTAAAAGAATTTTATAGCAGCAAACTACAACAAAGGTGTAACTCTTCAAGGTGTAACTCTTAGTGTGCTTCTGGAAAAATTAAGAATTTGGACGAGGAAATGACTAAAGACCTCACACTTAACAAATTGATAGTTCAGGGTTGTTTCACCAGATATCTTGTGGAAAACATCGGGAACTTCCATCATTCCATTTTCTTTATCCAACTCAGGGTCGCAGGGTGGCTGGAACCTATCCCAGCCACCATAGGGCGGTAGGCAGGATACACCCTGGACAGGTTGTCAGTCTGTCACAGGGCTATCAGGAACTTATAAATAAATAAATAAATAAATAAAACAATTGGTATGGGAAAGGGAAATGGAAGTGATTAAAGATTGAGGAAGACATTTGAACAGGATGCAAAACCCATTGAAGAGGTATTACAAAAGATGGTGCTCAAATACTGAAATGAAACGTCACAGATACACATGAAAAACAGGATAGAAGTTATTGTCTTATTGTTATTGTTTAAGGGCTTTTTATATTAAGAAGTCACTTAAACAATTAATTCTTATATTATTGAGGATGTGTCTTTTAAGGTCACTTCTGAATAGGCAGTACTTGTATGTGGAAATGTTCTTTAAGAGGAGGAAACAGGATTGGGCAGTGTTTCTGAGATTACAGCTATTGTTCAAAACCAACTATCCGGTTATTTTTCTGCTGACATACAGTTTAAAAGATACAAGGCCACTTCTGAGAGTACATTTCCAGTTTGGAAGACCTAGTTAAAATAAAAAGGATAAGAAAAAGCTCTTTTAGTTTTTGCTTGCCATTATAATTAAAGTTGCCTCACTTTAGAATCAGATATTCTTTTTCC